AGTCATCCTTATCCAAAATCTTTCCCTCTTTAAGTCCCTCAACTTTCAGAATATTCACATTAGACCCCAAAACAATCTTTTCTCACAATCAAGTCCTTAACTTACACTTAAATATTCCCGAAAATTTGGGATATTACATGATTGGTGAGACAATCGGAGAAGTCTTGATGGTGCACGAGGACACAAAGAAGAAAGCAATATTATGGGATGGCAGAGTTCTGATCCTTTGTTCGGAGCCGAGCAAAATCTCTAATCAAGTTAAGCTGAAGGTGGGTGAGCAGGTGTATGAAATAGAGATAACTGAAGAGGAATGGCGATCTGATCCGGATTGGTGGTTATCGGAGAATGGCCGGAGAAGCGACATGGAAACGGAGTCTGATTTCTCAAACTCGTGGTGTCAGAACGAGGATCCGGAAATGGATATGGATGTGATTGGCGTCGGCGAGGATGTAAGAAACGGTTCAGAGCATTTAATGAAGGATTTGGTGTCAAATTCAAATCTGAAGATAGTAACGGAAACAGAGAGTTGTTTTCAAATTGTGCAAGAGACAGATTTGGAAGGAGAAGTAAGAGGCGGGCTGTCAAAGGAGATTGGGCCTCAAAGAGTGAGTTGTGATGGGCCAATAGAAGACAGCGGGCCGACCATTAGGATGGACTGGGGACAAACAAAGGAAATGAACTTGGAGGAACCCGTTTTAGATGCACATATAGCGTTGGACCCATCAACAACGCAGAAATCGGCAAACACAACAAAGGGGAGCAAAAAACAGAGGATGCTTCAAGATTGCTACCCAGAGAGCATGGAGGAGATCTGGGCAAAAGGAGCACCGGGGGTAACTCCCAGAACAAAATAGCGTCTGGCACGGAGAGAGGGAACTTGCCAAGCCGGGGATGACAAGGTACATGATGCTATGGCTATTTCTATTTCAGATGGATGTATTGAAAATAGAAATAGGGTGTTGCAGAGAGAGATGAATATGCATGAGGTGCGTCGGATGATGGGGGTGGGGAAGAGATTGGGTCTTAATTTCGAGAAGAATGAGGAGGAGATACAATCAAGGTTGCTTGAGGCAGTAGATCGAGAAGGGGCAGAGAGGAGGGACGCGAAAGGGAGGTAGAGCCGGTTGTGATGAATGGAGGGTTGTGTGTATACAATTGATTAATGAAATTTGTGTCATTTAATGTAAGGGGCTTGGGTGGGACACTGAAAAAGAAGGAAGTGAGAAGGCTGGTTCAAGAAGAGAAGCCTGATTTTCTATTCCTGCAGGAAACAAAGTTAGAAAATGTGGATATAGGTATCTGTAGACAGCTGTGGAATTCAGATGAGGTTGATTGGGTTGCGAAGGGCTCTTCCGGAGCCTCAGGTGGTTTACTTTGTTTGTGGGATAGTCGACAATTTGTTAAGAGAGAGGTTTTTTCTGGTGATGGTTTCGTGGGTTTGGCAGGGGAATGGGGAGCAAATAAAAGGCAATATTTTCTAATTAATGTCTATGGTCCAAATGATAGACAGAAGAAGGCTAGTTTGTGGGAGGAATTGAGGAAACTGGTGACAGAAAAGGAAGGGTGTTGGTTGATAGCAGGAGACTTTAACGCAGTCAGAGGGCCTGAGGAGAGACGAGGTAGAACAGGAGAGAGCCCAGACATGAAGGACTTCGATGAGTTCATTGCGACGACTGATTTGGTGGATGTTAAACTGTCAAATAGAAATTATACATGGTACAAGCCAGATGGCACAGCAAGGAGTAGATTGGACAGATTCCTATTGAGTATGGAGATGAGTAATACGGAAGGAGAGTGGATACAACAAGGATTGCCAAGGAGTATCTCTGATCACTGTGCTATCGTGTTGAAGTCCAGAACAACAGATTGGGGACCAAAACCCTTTCGGGTTTTGGATGCATGGCAACAACATCCCGATTTTAAGAAGTTTGTAGAAGATAAATGGAGTGAGATGGAGGTAGAGGGTTTTGCAGGGTATAAGTGCCAGCAAAAGCTGAAATTGCTAAAAGGTTTTTTAAAGGGCTGGAACAAGGAAGTCTTTGGGAACATGGAAGCTCAATATGAACAAGCTGTAAAAAAGATTGAGCAAGTTGATATGCAGAATGAGATTTCTGATCTAGAAGAGGCTGAGATTGTGAAAAGACAAGAAGGTTTTTCAGAGATGTGGGATGTTTTGAGGAAAAAAGAACTGATATGGAAGCAGAAGTCAAGGAGTATGTGGGTGCAGGAGGGAGATGCAAATACCCGCTTTTTCCATAGAGTTGCAAAAGGTAGAAGAGCACAAAACAACATTGCGGGATTAATGTGTGATGGAGCATGGATTGATGATCCAGAGTTAGTAAAAAATGAGATAGTCAGATATTTTAGAAGCTTGTTTCAAGGAGAGTCATGGAATAGGCCCAAACCTGGGGATATTAAATTCCAGCAGTTATCCGAGGAGAAAAAGGATTGGCTGGAAAGACCATTTTCAGTTGAAGAAATTGAGGAAGGCTTAAGGAGCTGTGAAGGTTCAAAGGCACCAGGACCTGATGGTTACAACTTCAACTTCCTTAAATATGCGTGGCACTGTATAAAGGAGGACTTCATCAACTTTTTTTTTTGAATTCCATCGTAATGGTAAATTGGTGAGAGGCCTTAATTCTTCTTTTATAGCCATGATCCCCAAAAAGTTGAATGCTGTAGAACTAAAGGATTATAGACCTATTAGCTTGATAGGATGTGTATATAAATTATTAGCGAAGGTGCTGGCTAATAGATTGAAGTCCGTGATATCAGAAATAATAAGTGAAACGCAATCTGCCTTTGTGGGGGGCCGTCAGTTGGTGGATAGCGTCCTGGTGCTGAATGAAGTTGTGGATGAGATTAAGATAAAGAAACAGCCAGCTTTTGTTTTTAAAGCAGACTTCGAAAAGGCTTATGACTACGTAGACTGGTCCTCTTTGGATTGGATGATGGAGAGTTTTGGATTTGGATTGAAGTGGAGAGGTTGGATTATGGAATGCCTTTCAACGGCGAGAATCTCGGTTCTGGTAAATGGAAGCCCGACGAAGGAATTTGAGGTGGGTAAAGGCTTGAGACAAGGTGACCCTCTATCTCCTTTTCTCTTTTTGATGATCGTTGAGGGGTTACAAGGTCTGGTTCAGAGAGCTATTAAAGAGGAAATGATGCATGGGATTGAGATGGGAAAGAAAGGTCTGTCTGTGTCGTTGCTCCAGTTTGCTGATGATACAGTTATTATGGGCAGAGCGAATACTGAGAATATACGTACGGTGAAGGACATCCTAAAATGGTTCGAGCTTATGTCGGGATTGAGAATCAATTTCAGCAAGAGCAGTATTTTTGGTTATAATGTGTCGGAGAAATGGCTAAAAGGATCAGCGGGTATATTACACTGCAGAGTTGGCCGACCACCTTTTCTTTATCTGGGATTGCCCGTTGATAGTAAATCTGGGAACAAGAAATCATGGGAGATGGTAGTAAATAAATTCCGTACCAAACTCGCTGTCTGGAAAGCCGCTACTCTTTCTTTTGGAGGCCGCCTCATCCTGCTAAACTCGGTACTCTCTACACTTCCTATTTTTTATATGTCTCTATATTCATTGCCTAAATCTGTGCTTGTGGAGTTGACTAGAATCCAAAGGAGCTTCTTATGGGGCGGGGCAGAATTAAATAAGAAAATCTCTTGGGTTAAATGGGAACATGTATGTCAAGCGAAGGCTAAGGGGGGTCTTGGGGTGCCTGATTTACAAAGAAAAAACTGGGCAATGTTAGGAAAATGGTGGTATAGGTTAGGTGACGGGGTAGAGAGCTTATGGAAAAGGGTGGTGAGGGAGAAATATTATGGAGGTAGGAGGGAGGTCGATATTACTTCGGTTGAGCGTTTCAAGGTGTCAAAGATTTGGAGGGACATTATTAGGATAGGGGGCCTCTCCCTCAATCTTAGAAATATGTTGGTTGAGGGTTTCAAGTGGGAAGTGGGAGAAGGTAATAAAGTGGTTTTTTGGTCGGAAAGGTGGATGGGTGTAAAAAGTCTTAGAGATTTATTTCCAAGGCTATTTGCACTATCTGTAAAGAAGGAAGGAAAGGTTTCCGAAATGGGGTCTTGGGAAGAGGGGAAATGGAGATGGCAGCTGGAGTGGAGGAGGGGTACATTAGGGCGAGAGAAAGATGAGGAGGAGATGTTGGAGAAGATGCTGGAGGGTGTCAACCTAAAGGAGGGGGCAGGGGATGTTTGGAAGTGGATTCATGGGTTGGATGGCAAATATGGGGTGAAGATAGCGTATGATTTTTTAGCTTCTTCGGAGACTGTTTTGGAGAATCAGTTATGCAAATTAATAGGGTGCAGATTGGTGCCATCCAAAGTGGCTTTTTTTGGGTGGCGATTGTGCTTAGATAGACTCCCAACAAAGGAAAACTTGCAAAAACGTGGGATATTACTACACGAGGGGGTTCTTTGTGAATTTTGTAATGGGAAGGAGGAGAAAGTTAACCACTTATTTTGTTTATGTTATAATGCATGGTTAGCTTGGACTCAGGTGTTGAGTTGGTGGGGATTGAAGTCTGTTTTGCCTAACACTGTAGGGGGCATGGCAGAGTTTTTCATTAGTAGTTTAGGAAGCATAATTGGAAAGGAGATGGGTTCTTGTATTTTCCTAGTAGGTGCTTGGTATTTATGGTATAGACGGAATGCCCAAGTGTTTCGAAAAGAAGAAGGTATACCAGAAAACCTGCTGGAAAGGATGCAAGTTAAAACATTTATATGGATAAAATCCAAAGTAAAAGGCTGCGTTTTTTCTTTTCACGACTGGCAATCATGTCCAATGGAGTGTGCTAAGGCTGTCAAAAATCATAAAAGGCTGAGGAAGCAGTTCTATAAAGATCGCGTGCCCTCTAGTGGATAGATAGGCGGGGATGTTTTGTCTTCAGTTGTGGAGCATTTGAACACCTGACGCTTTATGCTTGTGATTTGTAAGCTTTGTCTATTTTTTGTATTTGGACACTTGCTCTCTACTGCTGTGGGTTCCTTTTTGTATATGGGCAGAAGCACCCCTTGTGCTTCATTAAATTAAATTCCTTTTTCTTTGGCTGATCAAAAAAAAAAATGTGATCATGTCCTAATTTGAACATATATAACTAAATCAAGGCCGTATCTATGAAGCAAAATAATATACGTTTTTGGCCTATTAAGCGTATTTATTTATGAACTTACCTTGACTGAAGGCCTTGCTTCAAGGATTTTCATGATACCTAATTCTGCATCTTGAGCAGCAACACTCTCTTTGTTAATTGAACCCACACAAGGCTTGTCTATTCCAGACTTTGGAGCCACCTCCTCATAAGCTTTACTTGGTATATGCCAGAAGATTAGCTCAGGCACACTGTCAAATAACATCATCTTTTATTGACACATGAATAGTAGAGCTTAAAATTAGAAGAAAATAGACATTTTCTATCCCTTTTGACCGAACTAAATCTTAAAACTTTCAGCTTTGTTTCAATAAAACTAAGGTGCAAAGAAAAGTGTCCAAAGAGAACCCATGGGCCTTCTTTTCCTCTACCTTGAGTCGGGATTGATCTCTGCCGATTGATGCTGGAACCATTCTACTTGTGCACTTGATATAACTTCAGGGTACGTACCACCACAAGAATCCAAAAAGTAAAGATACACCAGAGGTGACTCTGAATTTTTTGATGACACAACTTGGAGAACATAGTTGGATGTACTAGGCCAAAGATCATGTGAACCACTTCTAGAATATGATAATTCATTACCCTCAATCTCCTTTTTCATCAAGGTCAAACGCGATGTGCCCCAAAGTAACATGCTTCTTCCCCTGGCATCAAAATTTTGGCCTCATTTTAGAAAAACTAACACCACGTGCAATAATCAACAATCATCCTCTCTTACATATCCCACCATCAAATGCACCAAAAAATTCGATAAGCAGCAACATTTTCATAACAAGACTGAACACCACATTGCAACATCAAAGAAATCACATTAGATTTCGAGGCTGCCCACTATTTTCTACTTCAAATTAACACCGAAAACATGTTTGGTGAAATGACAGCACAAAAGATTCATCCATTCTTATTCACTGAAAAATTTACTAACTTGTTCTGTAGTGTACCTGAAGCTGATGAATGGGAGGCTGGGTACCGGAGTGGAGGAATCACGGGGGCAGAGAACCAGTCCAATGGCCACTCACGGCTCTTCACGGCTCTTCACTGCTCCCTCACCAGTGGTATCAGATCCTCCGCTACAATACAGTAATCTTTTTGAGGCACTACGTACTAGATACCGTCTACGCAGCCCTTGAGAAGTCCGGTGGGGGTAATTTAGGGATTGTGGTGTCAGAAAGCGGCTGGCCTACTGCGGGTGGAAGGGATACGACGGTTGAAAATGCGAGGACTTATAACAACAATTTGGTTCAGCATGTGAAGGTAGGGACTCCGAAGAAGCAAGGAAAGCCCATTGAGACATACATTCTTGCCATGTTTGATGAGAATAATAAGGGGGGAGAGGAGGTGGAAAAACACTGGGGGCTGTTTTCTCCAAACAAGCAGCCTAAATATCAAATGAACTTCAACTAAGGGAATTAATTAGGAGGAAAAATAAGGGCTTAATACGGCTAAATAAATGTATGGAGGTTTGTTTCACCATGTTTAACGTTGTTGTATTACTAAATAAATGCATTTTGTTAATGGAATACAAAATTCTTCTATGTGTATATTCACTCAAAGAAATACCAATGACCTGTTGATCAAAGTGAAAAGAGTTTGATTTTCTTTAAATAAAGTTTCGAGTTCAATTCCCCTTAAATAAGGTTTCGAGTTTGATTCTTGTGAATGGAGAAACAGGCATTATGAGAGTTTTTCTCTAATAAAATCCAACGCGACTCGATTCCAGATTAATCAAGACTCAATGTGATTATCAGATACTGAGAGGTTAATACAAAATATATAATATATATATACACACTCAAAGAAATTCCCATAGAATGGAAATGTATGTATGAACTTAATTTATTAAGAATTCTTTATTTTACATTTTAAATCATAATAACTATAAAATAAAAATTAATAAATAGAAGAATAAGTCTAAGGATAATGATTCATGCATTCATTAGTTCGACATCCGGCGAGTGCACACTCCACAAATCAAATAATTGTAAAAGTGAAATAACAAATTTACCCTTAAACCATCTTTTTCCTCACAAAACCCATTTCCTAAATGACAGCAAGAACAAATAATTTGAATCCCAGCAAAACTCAATCAAGCATTCAAGCATCAAATCTCAAATCAGAATCTTGAGTAAACTTCCTAAATAATAGCAACACTGAATCAGTGGAAATTAATTTCCCAAATGACAACACCAAATTTTGAGAAAGAGTTCATTTTCTCATATAATATCCTCAATTTAGTTCATGATTTTGTAATCCATTAGACACATAAAACAAATCTGTTTTTGGGATGATATAGCAAAAAGTGGAGTGCATGTAAGTGGAGTCAATTGGCAGAAAAGAAAAAAGAAAACAGGGGAAATTTTTGCAGTTTTGATATTGCATGCAGCTTTGCTATTTTGTCCAATCTGTAAAATTTCACCATTGGATTGAGCTAGAATTTTGTCTGGGTGTTCAAGAGACATTGATCTACATTTTGAACGGTCAATTTTTCATTTGAAGCTTTGTAAGTTCTGATTTTGTATCCAAAACAGTAGCTCATTTTTGATAATCTGTTTTTTTTTTTTTGTCCCGTTTTCTTTGTTGGTTTGTGGCTTGCTATTCCTCCTATTTGATGCTGGGTTTTTCACAAACCCAGGTGATAAAGAACTTGTTTGCTTCAATAGGTAGAAAGAGAGGGAAGAAGAGAGGGAGGGGGAAGAAAGTTGAGAAATTGGTGTTGAATGGTTGAAGAGGAAGATGGAGAGACAGGAAGAAAAAGGGGTATTGTGGGGAAAAAAATGGCTTTAAAAGTAAATTTATAACTTTATTTTTACAATTATTCATTTTAAGAAGTGTGCCTCCACCGGGTGTTAAACCGGTGGATACATGAATCATTATCCTAAGTTTAAATATCAGGGTCTATCCCCTTAGATGATGATCATCGTATAAACTAAGAATTTTTTACCCAAACAAAAAAATGTAGCATAGTTAACCATCAATTAATATTGCGCTGAAAATGATATATTTGGTCTAGGTTCAAGTCTTTGGTCTTAGAGACTTCTGCCGATGTTATTGAATAAAAAATTTTCTAAACAAGACGTGTTGGTCAAAGAGAATGTTCAAACTTCAAAGGTCATGAAATAAGAGAGGCATCCTTCTCAGGAAACCTGGCTTGGGAAAAGTTCTGTTCTGAATGAGGAATGATTTGGAAATGGGAATATAACAGAAAACTGCATGAAATTTCTTTGAATCCAGAGCCTGGCTTAGGACTCTATAAAATTTTTTAATATCCTTAATGACTTTTTCTTATATGCTAATTCATTACAAACATTTAAATAT